CCTCATTCGGTTTAGGAGGCTCTGCCTTACGTTCTGAATCCCTTCTAAAATACCATATGCAGGCCAGTCCTGTTCGACCCGCATATTTTCTCTTCTATGAGTGGCAGTTTTTTCTCCTTAAAAGTTGGTCAATTTATAATCACCCGGTTTTTTCGTAAGGAGTTTTCTTCACTGCTCGCTGACCGTTCTATACGTGGCCGTTTATTATACAACCGAAAATTGAATAGTGTGCAGAACCTGTCTACTTCCCCTAAAATTTACTTGAAAACTTATATTTACTTGCTATGACCGGACCCCCCAGGGTCTTTTAATGAAATTATTTATTTAACCACCTTCGGCAGAAAAGCCAACCAGCATAATGAGAATTTGCGGGTGGTCCTTGAAGGCCTAAAAGAAGCCGGATTATGACTGAACTCCCAAAAATGTCAGTTCCACCGTACTTCCATGAACCATTTGGGCCATGACCTCAGTGCATAAGGCATCCGCGTCCCCGTGGAGAAATCAAAGGCCATTCATTCCTGACCGACACCAAATACGCCTGTGAAAGTGAAAGGTCTTATCAGACTAGCTTCTTATTATCGGCGCTTTAAAGCAGACTTCGCTGGCATAGCGCGAACACTGCACAGACTCGCCGAAAAAGGACGGATATTTGTATGGACCGATGAGTGTCAGATTGCATTCGACGATCCCCAAGTCCGCCTCTCTACAGCGCCTTTACTCAAAGTGCTAGACCTGGACGACGGCGCGTCGTCATTCATCCTTGACGCCAACGTCAGTGCATTTGAAGGTGGTAGTGTGCCATCCGAAACCGATGACAAGTGACAAGAAAGCGCTATTTATTTTGCCAACAAAACACTATCGAAACCACAAAGTGACCCGTATCTGTCACTGTCTCTGGCGATCGGTTCGAGCGAGGTCCCGAAGCGTCAGGCGAATAAAATCTCTGTTCCAGTGATCGCTTCTACTTTGTATCAAAGGAATTATTGCATATATGCAAAACAAAGACTGATGAACAGGGTAAAGAGTCCCTCCTTTCAAACGTTTTTCATTCCATCTTCAGCCCAGAACGTAATTAGTCCATTAATCCGTTCACCAAACGCCTCTTTCTACTCCTCTTCCCCCTCGTACCCCCTCCTTGCCATCCTTAACTGAGAAACTACTCTTTTCATCGACCATTGTTAGGGCGGAACTACTTCGGCTGAAACTTGCCAAATCATCTGGCCCGGGTAGAATTCCCGCATTAGGACTTCGTGAACTTACTAATGAATTGAGTAAACCGTTATCCGAAATATTTCAAAAGTGATTTGAAGAAGGCAAGCTCCCACAGGAATGAAAGTGCGCACTCATCACTCCAATCCATAAAGGAGGCTCATGACTTGACTGCGGAAATTATCGTCCCGTCAGTCTTACTTGCATCGCGTGTAAAATAATGGAACGCATTATTAAAAAATACTTGATGCAATACCTGAAAAAAAAACGAAATACTGTGTGATGCCCAGCATGGCTTTCGTCAGGACTCTCCTGCCTAGCGAGTGTTTTTTACTCGCACGAGACGTGGACAAGAGCTGCCGACAAGGGTTATCCAGTGGATGTCATATTTTTGACTTCAAGAAGGTCTTTGTCA